CCCCAAAACCCCAAAACCCCGTTAGATGAAATTAGCCTAGATTTTCAAACTAAATAAATACCTTATAAGAAATAAACTCTAAATAATATATAGATAATTCGATGATTCATAATTCCTAATTGCATCACTTAAAGCACTCCTTTCCTCACAAATCATCACTTTGAGATATAAAACTTTTAGACTCATCTTCTTTTTCTTCAAAGGGATTTGGCATTAAAATGGATGACCCAGTATCACCTCTCTTTTAAATGTCAATCATACTATTAGTGTGAATCATTTATCCCTTAGCTATGCTCATCTGTAACCCAGGAGCTAAGTTCATATGATATCGAGCAGTGGAATCAGAGCTGACATCGTTAGCCCCGCTATCCCAAATTTAAAATAATGCATCATCCATCTCTTCATCTTCAATAAGTGAAGGAGATCCAATTTGAGATTTAATCTGAATCTATCTGTTTTGTAGTCTTTTCTTCTGCTAGAACGCATACATCAGTGAGTAAGTTATTGCCCCTATAGGAAGATAGAAACCGAGAGTTATAGAGATAATTTGATGGATAGGGCTATAAAAATTAATCAATATTTCATAATTCCTTACTAGTACCAAGTATCTTACTCAAGCGAGTCATTTAGTAGCTCATTATAGAAAGGTTGAGTCATCACAATATTTATGACTAACCTTGCTGAGAGTGATAAAATTGTTCCAAAGTTTGCAAGCAAAATCTACAGAAAAGAAGATTTAATTGGTAAATTTATAAAATTACCTGTCCCTTTTGTCGTTGGTAAAATGAAGGATAGAATATTTTAAGCCTTCTAATAAGCCAGACATCTACCACGATAAACACAGTCAAGATTATAAAGAATAAACAGGCTACAAAGTAAAACTAAACGTCTAGAATATTTTAGGTGACTTCCCATTTATGTTCATCATCAGTATCATAATCATATATGAGCATTAATGTAATGAAGACTAAAGCGATAGTCAATAAGATCAATTAAGCTGTGATGAGTGCCCAAAGCAATATTCTCTGATTCCTAACATAAATATTTTTCCTTGGATTAATGTACATCTTGGTGGCAACCAGAAATATCATCCTAATTAGTTATCAGTATTTTAATCACTTAAAAAAGTAGATAATTCTTACCATTTATAGAGATCGAATACGAGGGCAAATGAAAAGAACATGACTGCAATAAAGTTTGAGATTCTTATGATGTTTGAGTCTTGGAGATATTCATTATCGGGGAACCGCACGTATAAGATAAATAAAACAATATATATTCCAATAACTATCCAAATATAAGGGGATTATACTTAAAATGCTTACAAAAAATTGATAAAAATATTGATGTTATTGACAGCAATTGGGGGATATCAGTGAATTTAATGAGTCTTTAAATCTTGTAAACTAGATGCGCAGATACACAAAGGAAAACAAAGTTAAATACTCCAATCAAGATCATGATAAAAGATAATTTATCATTCGTATTATCTGAATCCTAGTCTGACTGTAGTAGGAAATGCAAATCAGAACTCACATGGGATTAAAGTCTATATGCAATTGATTATTCTTCCCATTACATTTTATATTAATAAATCTCAATTTCAAAATTATAATATAAGCCTTCAAATTATGTTAATTTTAGAAATCCCATGATCATATTAAATCCTTGATAAGTGGGGTTTTGGGGTTTTGGGGTTTTGGGG